TGTTGCGCCGCAGCGTTACAACTCCTACATCGGCGGGGATGGGTCCATTGTGACATCAGTACGGGTAATATCATGGTGATGCGTAAGGATGGTGTGCTGATCGTAAAGCTTGTGGATCTGGAACTGGCTGAAAGCATGGCAGACGAACATGAATTATGTGACTATATTGTGAGTATCGCACTCATAACAAATGTTTGTCCAACTGAGAGACCCTGCTCAGGGCACACCTGGCTTCATAGCTGAAGAAGTCGCCGCACACCGGTATACTCATGGGGGCGGTCGTCTCGGAGAGTCGACCGAGAAGCCTACTCCTGTGTCTGTGATAAATGCCATCTTCCGCTATAATCCACTGCATGATCTGGAGTCTATCTGGTGGGTTGCCTACTACTACATCTACCGGAGGATCGTCGTCAGCGTGGATGGCACTCCAGTCCTAGCCGACGATGAGTCCCAAATGGAATGGCCTTGCGAAGCGAGTCATTGTGCGAGGAGAACATTCTACGACAGGAGTGTGAGGTCCCACATGCTCTCCCAATATCTACCAATCGCGGACCTATATTGTTGCCTCCACAAGTCGGTCCTTGGAATCGCCGAAGTGCTCCAAAAGCTCAAGCGCCGTCTTGTGGAGGTCTACTTCGAGGCGGAGGAGGACTGGAGAACAATCGATCATGCCGTCGGCGAGAAACACGATTTGACGAACACCTTCACGGCTGTCTTCGAGATGATTGCTATCAAGCAGCCGCGCGGTATAATGATCGGCCGCTTTGGAGCGCTGACAGAGGCGAAACAAGCTGACAACGCTGTTCATGAAGACGAGAAGTCTGCTACCTCATCCGGGACGCATTCAACGGACCAAGAGAGTGATTGAGTCCAGCCTTCAACCGTCATCACACCGGTCAAGTCGTGATGGCATGAGGCAATTCGTTTCAGACCCTGACTGAATGAAGATGGAAGAGACAGTTGTTTTTACTGAGTTTCGAGGATAGTGTCGTAACAGCGAGTTCGGAAACGATCACAGCGCCAGCCTTTTTGTAGCTTCGAGATCTATGTACATGAGAATTCCGAGAGTATCAATTCGAAGTCAATGACATTGAAGACAAATTCTGAAAGGCATAATGCTGGAGTGACAAGCGACAGAGAGCATGTCACATTGTCGTGCATATATGACAGTCTCGTGCGAGTCCTACATGTCCAAGTTTGCGTCATCGAGGCCAAGGCATGCTAAGATTTCCAAGGCACGATTGAGCTTTTACAACTCTACATAAAAATGTCTTACAGCTGTCACAGGACTCTCAGATCCACAATTGGTTTTAGGATTGAATCAATATTGGAAACACCATGCTAGGCATGCTTCGGGGGGAGTCGGTGGCGGGACGCGTCTTGTCACGGTCATGTGATCGCGTAGTACTTATTTTCCTGCTCACATTCCAGGTCGAGCTATATCTGCTCCTCGAAAGCCCCATCCTTATATTAAACCTGCGTTCACTCCTCATAATACCCCTACACTACTACGCGTATATCACACCGGAGGGACCATGAGTTCTGGAGCCATAACATTAGAGGGGGCATTCGCAGTCTATCTCCTGAGTTTATACCTGACTCAGTGGTTCAGTTACGGTGAGTGCAAATAGCGCTTCCAGTCGAAATCAATTGAGATATGTCCATAATATCATATCACTTAGATCGGCAGCGCTACGCGAGGTGTCTTCGCCTCATGGATGCAGCACATTCCGCTCATCACAATAAGTTATGCGAAGACGCCGTCCAAGCGTTCCGGGATGCAATTTCATCGCTCTCGGCGGACTACGAAACCCCATGTTCGGAATCGGATGAGCCTCAAACAATTAGAAACGCATATGCGGGACTCAATATGGACAAGATTATTACTTTAATGGGATGCTACAATGGCCTTGCTTCGTGTATGAAAGAACTCCATCGGTTCGAGCAGGTGAGCATGTGCCTCGAGAGGATGTCTACACAGCTAACAAATCTTCAGGGGCTGTATGCCTTACAAGAGGTGGAAGAACTGTATGCAATAGCCCAACGTTCATGTCGCCCTGCGCTCCACGGTGAGGCATTCCCCAGGTATCAATCTGGTCCAAGTCCTAACCTGCGTCTTATGCAGAGTGGGATCTTGAGTCGAGCATCCCGCAACTCATGCGCATAGATCTTCAGTACCAACGTCTTAAGGGACTTGTCGGCATGAGCGATGCCTTCCTGGTCCTCGGAAACACTGGTTCAGCGTCGCAGCGCGGCCTCTTTGCGAGCGCAATAATAATAAGTCTTCCCGCTCAACTCTGCACGAGCGACCTTCAGTCTCTCATGCCAGCCGAGAAGGTGAGACAGCTTGGCTCTTTCCGGCACCCGGATCCGGATTTGCACGTCAAGCACCAGCTTTCAAGTGAAGCATTGCAAGTGAGGGGCTCGTGGCAGAAAGTATCGATGCGTAAGGGCACAGGTCCCTCCTCGCGCCTAGGCTTCTCGAGTTTCATATGGAAGAGTGAAGCAGTATCTCGTCTCGCACATATCGCATACTGACACAATTCATTTTGGTGACCGAAGGCAGACTATACATGGCTGGTGGGCAGCACATTACGAATGATATCGTCCCGGAAAACTGCAGAGACTTCTGGTGCCTTGACCTCAACGATGGAGACGGCTGGCGGAGACTGCCCAACATCCCCCCGCGCAACCTGAAGAACCAAGGCTGGAAGATGGGTGTGCACAATAAGAAGGCGTATCTGTTTACCGGCTCGCCCGCGGTGGACGTCTTTGATCTGGTCACCGAACGCTGGATCAGGCTGCTCACCATGTTCGTCGGACCCGACGATGGCTGGCAGCCGTGGCAGTGGTCCGGCGAGGTGCTTCCAGGCTACGCGATGGAGGTTGTGCGCGGGCGAATGTATATATTTGCCGGCGCGACCAATGCCAGTCGGATAGGGTGCAATCTTCTCGCGGCAACTTGACCTCTCGACCGGTGAATGGGAGACTTTGTCTGGCAGCTCTGATCGTGCACCGGCGGATTACGACGGTCCGGGACCAAGGCAACATGTTGCAAGTTGGGTCAACGCGGAGAAAAGTCGGATCTACTTCATGCAAGGGATAGCTGACTTGCTTGTTGATTCGCCGTTCGGAACCAAGCAGGCATGCTCGTACGACGATCTCTGGAGCTGGGACATCGACGAGCGCAAGTGGCGGCGCGAGAGGCTCTCTGGTAATAAGCCATGTGCGAGAGGGGAGATGTCTTGTACATACGTGCGCGTTCCCATTGGTACGTCTCCCTACAGTCACTCATAAGCATTCCGAATCGCAGAACCCGAACCTCAACGCGACCATTGTATATGGCGGCTACAATCCTCGGTTGGCTTCCTGCTTCCCGTCAATAGATCAGTACTTCAGCTTCAGCTATTTCGCGGATACGTTTGTTTTGGAGCACAACTCACCAAAGCCGAGGTGGAGGCATGTCCTGACGCGAGGCTTCCCGACTTATCGTGCAATGGGTGCTCTGCGTACCGACCCAGACACCGGAAGGATGTATCTCTTTGGCGGCTACACGAATACTAGCCTAGTACCGGACACCAAACACATCAACGCTCGTAGCTTTGGGGATCTGTGAGAGCTCCGAATCGACATTCCAGGCGGATTCTTCGAAGAAGTGGATGTAGTTGAGGAGCAAAGAACAGCACGTCTGGGGCCGTGGCAGAAGTGCTTCACCTGCGGCTCTGTCGGGCCTTGGAAAAAGTGCGGAGGTGCGCTATCATGTTGCCCATAATATCACCGCTATATCCGACGTTATCCTGTCCAGGTGCTTGCAACGGTCGAGCATTCTTCTGCGACAGTCAATGCTTGAAAGATGGGTGGGCGGAACACAAGCAGATCCATGCTTGCAGAAAGTGATATGAACGGGGGCACGTCCAGCGCATGTCGTACAGAGAACAGGACCTATTTATTTTGCAGACGAGGATATTGTCCTGTTTTAGTACATCGAAGTTAGATTGGGACATTTTCCAAGCGTGACTGAATAGTGTCATCCGCGATCGCAAATGTGTCAAATCAGATAGCCTTCCTGTCCAGCGCCAATCGCCCGCTTGTCCGCCCCAATCCGCATTCTTGTCCGGGTGCTCCCGCCGTTTTGTCCCGATCACCGGGCGCATCCAGTCCACCGCACCGCATCATAATGTCCAGCCCCAAACACCTTATCGTCCCGGCCATCCCCGGATTCTGTCCTTGGCCGAACCTCAACCTGCCCCATTTGTGCTGCTATTCAGTCCACACATTTATACACATGTTTCCCCCGGTGCAGAACACCTTCAATTTTGGATCATTGAGTCGCTTTTACTCCGCATATCCAATGTAAAATATTGGAAGCATGCTAGCACCATTATGCTACACTCCCTGGGCAGCCATCACTCACCTCCTCCATGATAGTGATTGTTCCAGGCGCCTCTGCCTACAGCATATATGATATCTACCACTGCTGTGGCATATTGGAATATTGCGTCATAAACTGGCCACATCAATTTAAGGGCTATCTTCCTATGTATTCTCTACTATCCCAACATGACTGGAATGCATTGAATACAAGTCCGACACCCTGATCACGTGCATCCATCATGCACACATCCCAATTAGGCCACAATCGAGATTAGATCCTGCCCGATTGAAATGGCAATACTGTCCACATACTATCCATATCCTGTCCCTACATTTAGAAGCATCCGCCTTGGTACCTCTCCCTGCATGTATACGCGATTGAACAGCTTATTATAGCCCATTCTGCATTATAAAATATCCCAGAGTGCCAAACCCCCCACCTTCCGTCACTATCCATAATTTCCCAATCCCAGTGCCATAATTACATAATTTCTGCGTCGTCGACATTCAACATACACGCTCCGTCTCTCCTGTTACTATTAGCTACTGCAGCTAAATAGCGGTGTTAGTCCCTATCACTCTCTCTAGTCTGTTCATCCCATTGATTGTACATGCTAGGAGTGATCTGCCTACCGCTGCACGTTGCACCCTGCAGGTTGTCTCATTTGCCTTCAAGTAATGTGCGTGTGAAAATTTTACATGTGTCGAAGATTTCTTATTGACCCTTTTCAGTACTCAATATGCCTTATGCGATACAACGCCTCACTCCCGTTTACACCATTCCCAATGAGATTCTTGGCCACATCTTCATTTTGGGTGTCGAATCTGCTCGTCAATCATGCAAATACCTTCCGTATCCTTGTGCCAAAATTAGCCACGATGTCCTGGAGACCACCTTATTCCGCCACTCGATTCTATCCGTATGCGCGCATTGGCGGGACACAGCACTTGCGATGCCTGCCTTATGGCAGCTGCTTGATATTACACCTCGCATCCCGCTGGCCTATGTCTCAGCTGCCCTTCAACAGTCGCGCATATTGCCATTGACTATCACAATATCCGACTGCTGCCCATGCTGTGCCGATGCTCCTCTTGAGGTTCAGGCCCCCTTGTGGACACCGAGTGCCCTTCACACCATCCTCGAGGCACTGACGCCTCATGCCTCCCGTTGGCAGTCGCTCTCGTTCATGATCAGGGATCATTCCTTGGTGGAGCTTTTAGCCATTCACTCCACTCCTGCTCTATCTCATACTGCGCTACATACCCTCACCATTTGGGTACCTCACACTCCTGGCTCTCGCCTTGAGTGGGATGTGTTCCCTCCGCAGTCTATCCTGGAATGTCCTCCCGCCTCGCTACAGGTTCTGTCCATCTATGGCATCTGGGTACAATGGTCAAATATCCTACTGTCTACTTCTACTCTCGTCGACCTGGCTCTGTGCCACATTCAACCCAAGTGCAACATCCAGCATTTTGCCCATGTTCTTGCCCAGCTGCCCATGCTCCGCCGTCTCACGCTCGCCGGTGATCTCGTGAAACCTCCGTTTGAGCACCCAGAGGATCTCCCCCAGGTCGACCTTACCCGCCTGCAGTACCTCGCACTCCGTGACCTTGATCCCGCATTCGCTGTTCACATGCTTCGCATGCAAACATATCCCGCTCTCACGCACCTCGTACTCAAGTTGGGCCCTGGATTTTCCATCCGCGCGCGTCACTATACTGCCTTTGCGCAAGCCCTCATAGAACACCCTCTCGCCATACATGTGACCGACTTGGACTTGCACGAGCTCTCATGCTTATCCGGACTATCCGGAGGTGCCGTCCCGATATTCTTCTCATTTTGGCCATCTTTGAAGCGTTTGTCGTTGCATTTCCAAGGCCTCGGTCCTGGCTATTGGCGCGCCCTCTGCAGCTCACTCCCGAGCTGTGTCCCCTCCCTCCAGCGTCTCTATGTCACAGAAATATCTCCGCTCGATGTGCAAGAGTTCGTTGCCACACGCCTGAATGTGGGTCTGTCCTTGCCAAGGCTCCAGCTCCGCCTCGCAGATGCATGGCGAGTGCATGACGGGCGCCCTCCTCAGTGGTCTACATGGCTGGACAGGATGGGGGTTCAGTACAGGTTAATGTAGGCATGTCCAGAAAGTATTCCATTATGATTTGCTCGCAACCAAATTGTCGGGGTGCTTGATACTCTCTAAATACACGCTCCTTTTATTCACACCTACCGTCACGCTCATTGGTGCCTACTTACGGCTCTGGCCAAATCATGCCATCGTCGCTGCCTCGAAGCGCATGTTAAGCAGAACATTGCGCACGGCTGAATGACCAATGCGCACGCAATGCCTGGCGGTGCTCCCCGTGCCCCGCAGCGAGAGCCCGGGAGCGAAGACATTGGCATCCTCGCCCCAGTCTGGCGGGATGAAGGTTGTAACATTACCTACGCTACATGACGCTCGCCATGACCACAACGAAATCGTAACGTATCATTGTCGTGTTGTGATCTTGCACTGCACCACACCTCACTTGCACCATCTATTTGTTTGCCGTGAACTATTGTATATCTATTTAGCACGTGTGTCGTTTTTCTTCACTCTTTATGGCTAGGATCGCTTTTGATAGCCAGAAATTGACCGTGCATACGAGGTCACATGGGACAAACTGAGGTCAAAGTGATCGCGTCGCGCAGACGCGCTGAGGAGGGGCGAGCCGTGCCGTGATGAGTAGGGTGGTACACCGCCATGCGAAGACTGTACATGACTGACATCCTCCTCGACCCAGTCGTCCGTGCCATTGTCTTCCTCATCTGACGGTACCTCACTCATGACGACGGCCTTTGTCAAGAGTGCGCTGGCCTTCTGCCATCGGCGATGCGAGCTTGTCGCCAATCCAGCACATCTACCATGGCGGTTACTATGTGCGCACTTCACACGGCTCAAAGACTGGGCGTACCTGGTCATCTGCGTCTGCGTCTGCGTCTGGCTCTGGGTTGGCAGCGGGTGCACTGAAACGGAATTTCGGAGGAATGGGCATTTGCGATGTGGCTGAAGAGCCGACAGAGGCGGAGGAGGTAGAAGCGTGCTTGGGGCGCGCAAATGTGTCTTCCGGTGGACGTACTTACTCGCCAGACAGCTAAGACACCGGGCCTATCTGTTCGCTGAGACGGCCAGTGAGCAAATCAAGTAAGCGTAGAAGACGTACCGAGCATGACTAGCACCAGCAAAGTAACCTTGCCACGCTATCCGACCCGGCGCTCGCCTGGCCGAATACGGCATTTTGATGACTCTCTCATCTACCCCGGACTGGCTGCGCAGCACCTGGCGCTGGCCTCGCACCCTAAGCCTCTCGTGGTCGTACATGCCGCCATGCGCCCTCTCGCCAGACGTTAGCCTCCTTACTCGCCGCTGCCCCCTGCTCACCCACACAAATGACCGTATCCAGATCTTGGATTCGAATGCATTCCCGCCACGTGCGGACAAGGTGCCATCTGCCGCCTTCATTATAAGTGGAATAGCGGCCCGTCATATTGATTACTAACTGGGCTCGATCGCGCTGTACAGCGTGCACTGTCGTTATTGCCACGTACCAAGTTATCATCCTCGAGCTCTGGCTCTGGCTCTTGTGTTTCTGAACATGCCCCGCGCTACAGCAAGCACAACCGACCGCGTCCTCCACGAGTGTGCGAGCGAGCAAAACGACATGAGACACACCGCCGTCCAGCAAGCCCTCACGGCAGACGACAGCAAGATAAACCGAGAGGTCAGTGGATGGCACATCAACATCGGAGGGTGATATGGCTCACCAAGTCATGCAGAGAGGACGTTGGTGGTACGGGAGCGTAGCGCGAGGTGGTAGTGTGCGCGCATACGCCAGCAAGCCGGACGCGGCGCGCGCTATGTCGGGGTACGCGGTCAGTTGTCAGCGGTATCCTATAAATGCGAACATGATGCAGAGCTTACCGTGGCAGGGAGTGCGGGCGCAAGGGATAGCGCGAGGATGATCTGCAGGGAGTGCAGACAGGCCGGCGGACGAGCGACGTGCACGGGCCGCGCTGAGTAATGGATACGCGCTCGGATTGCGCGCAACCATCGCGCAATCTGAGCGCTGGGGACGATGGACACACGTTTCGCGCGTGCAATCTCAGCGCTTACATCACAAGGCAACAATAGGTGTCACTCTCGAGCTGTCAGTACTTCAGTCTCAGTGGAGTTCAGGGCCGCTGATACGCTACCTTCGAAGACCAAATAAGATGAATGAATAGATGTAGAGAATGTAGAGTATTGTTAGTGCCGCCCCCATTTGCCCACACCCAAGCTCGAGGGGCGGAATTATAATTCCTCAGCGAAAGCTCTCGCGGAGGCAAAACCACGTGGTGTGCCCAGGCGGGGGATCGATCCTCGTGCGCGCGGAAGCAAATTTTGAGCGCCCATCACCACTGTTACAGGCAGCTGGAGACGATGTGCCTCAAGATCGTGCTCACGCGCTCATCGCCCACCCCTCCTCTGGCCTCAAATCCCGCGCGTGCGGTGGCCATTGCTATATTTTCCTTGCACATCGCTTGCTCTCGCTCGAGGCGCACTCTTGCGACAGGTACGTTCGTACGGTCCCTGCGCCATTCAGCGTCAGAGTACAATATTCATCGGGATCTGATGCCTTGCCCTGGTGGTCCCCTCAAGCACTTCTCTACTGTGTGGGCTCACGCACAGGATAGCCATTTTTTCGGCTGTCCTCTTGTATTTCTGCGCATGTAAGCGTCATAACACCTCCTAAGTAGATGAGGAGGCATCTCAGCTTCGAGCGATGCCCTATCGTCCACACATCATGTCCTGCGGGAGGTCGCTAGGCGCGTGCCGAAGCAGCAGAGCCGAACATGACACCATAGCGACTTAGGTGCGCATTAGACATATGCGCGTATAGTCCCCATTGAATTTGCGTTAGCTAATTAAGATAACTGCCCGCGCGCAGGCATGTCAAATGGCGACCTAACTGCTCGCTAGTCACTTCTCCTGCCCCTCCACCATGTGCGGCACCTTGTTTTCTTCGTTGTTTGCTCAGAGCTAATATCTCGTTAGGCTTCAACATCCACACTGCGTACATGTCAGGCTCAGCTAGTCTTTTGGCAGTGTCGCCTCACCTTCCTGCCATACACGCTATGTACAGTGCAGCGCAGTCCCTCTTCAAGTTCATCATACACACGAGCATCGGCAGTTCAACACACACCTTCACGGGCTCCCACCTCAAGCAGCTCGAGGGCGTACAGCCGCCGGGGGATCATTCTCTCGATTTTCTTCTACATCTCGTACATCTGTCGCAGAGTGGTCGACGAGGAGCTGGAGAACGATGCAAGGACTGTCGACAATCAGCTCTATTGCTAAACACATCATCATTAACAATGCCCAATGGCCCGGTGTTGCCAAACCCCGAGCATCTTGCCGCGTTCAGTTCCCCAAAGCCTCAGAGCGCACCACGCAATTCGTCTGCCGGCCCTCCGCCTCATGTTTCCCCTCGCGTCTCATCGCTCTATGGCCTTTGACTGGAAGAGTGTCTCGATGTTCGGCGGAGACGACAACGATCCTGCGCCCAGCCTTTGACGCTTCGTGCTGGCAACCAGCCCAGTTGGTCAGCGGCGCGCATCAGTTATAAATGCAATAAGAGGGGGAAGACAGACAATGTCGTCAAGCCGCCCAATGCCACCGCAGGGGCGGCGAATTCCCTGGACTGCTGATGCCATCTTCACGATTCTTGTTCTTCCGTGGTATTTGCTCAATCGTGGTATTTGCTCAATAAGCCTGTTCGACACATCGCCTATGCGCACTTCGCCACAGGGCAGCCCACATATTGGAGCCAGGAGCCTAAACCTCACTGAGGAAGCGTAAGAACAGACCGAAGTTATGACCACACGAGCAGCACTGGATGCACATGAACGCTTGCTGAGCGCTGAGATCACCAAGGGTGGTGGAGGCGGTTACGAGATGTTGTCCGCAGAGCTGGCGACAGACGCAGCAGGCACGACAGCGGTGATAGTGCTAGTCCGGTATGGAGTACCTGGTATGAGTAACGGTGAGGTGGGTGATGACTGAGATTGTACTGTCCGGGGCTCACACTGACAAGCATTGATCCCAGAATCATCTGTGCTCTTCGAAGGCCTACAGGCTCTTGCCTGCGGCCTCCTAGCTCTGCCTTGCCATCCTAGAGGCGGCGAGTAATGTGATTGCAGCCAGCAAGACAGGTCCGATCGGTTTCAGCCTCTTTTAGGTATGTCAATCTTGATCGGGATGGCGCGATCGCCTTGTCTCATTTTCACCGATGTCCAGGGCGGCTTCTACGCTCAGCGCTCCCTCAATGGCCGGCCCCGCTATGGCATCACATTGTGCGCAGTGAGATGGAAGACTTGTCACCCTCGCAACAAAAACGACGCGGCCGCCCTCCTAAACGTTTTTGGAGCCGGGGGCGGCCTCGCAAGGCCGGCACTGCCCACCAAGACCACACGAAGGCCTCCAAAAGCGGATTCTCTCAGTCCAAGCAAGGTCAGGCAACGCAACTTGACAACTCACTTCCCCCCGGTGCTGGAGTACCCCTCACACGCGATGAAGAGATGCGCATGCGGTTTGCATGGGCGGATCGTGCAGACCATACCACCAGTACTCAAGACCAAGATCGCCCCGTCTTTCTGGATCATATTCCCCGTGGCCTTGATTCACGATGGCGTTTAGTGGCCACGATACCGACTTACAACTGCCCTCAATGGTTTGAGAGACAGGTTAGAATCAACTGGGCGAGGTCGTGCTACAAATGTTGACCTCTTTCACAGCTGAATGACTATAGCATGCACTCATATAGATCCACGTCATCCGTCCTCCTTGATTGGTTTGGTCACCCCGGTGATTCACCTCGGGATGTTCGTGCCCACTCCTTTGCGGTACGATGGCACCCGGTGATGGTGCCATCTGAAGATGCCCTTACAGCGGCGCGAGAGGAGCGGCGCCCGGTCCTCCGTTGGGAATACTATTGCAGTGGCATGCATGATCTGGTTGTTGATGATGAGGTAGCTGAAGGGGAAAAGAGAGAGTGGAGTGATGCAGGCAGCGAGGATGAGGTTTCCGAAAGAGGGAGGAGCAAGGCGGGGGACTTGAGAAGTGAAGAGTGGGATGACAGAGCCTCCAGTGATCAGCCGCTTGGTGGGGATAGCCTGCACGAGCAGCACTCCAGTGATGATGAGCCAAATGTAGAGGAAGGCCACCGTCGAGGAAGATGGCAGCGATGCACGCATCGTGTACGACTCCATGTGAGTTCCTGATCGTCCCACTTTGCAGCGATTGTTGACCAGTTGTTCTAGGTGGAAGTATGTGCCAATGATCTCGGTGTCGCCAAGATTTGGATGTTTGGCAAGCATCGTGACGTCAGAACCTCCCAGCACCGTTATCTGCAATTCTCTCGGCGAATACGCAATCTCGCACAAGAACGCATGCAGACAGTCGGTGCGAAGGTCAGCGCAGTTGCTAAAGGTAAATTGAGATGTTGTCATGGTGTCAAGCATACTCATTCTTCGCTAGAGCTCCTTTCGAAGTTCAGGCGCACGTCAGAACGCACTGTACCTGATCCACTGGTAGCATTGCCTGATACTCAATCGGCAACAACAGTGCCCTCATGGAGGTATCCCAATAATGACCAGTTGCGTAACATGCTGCGACCAGTGCGGCAACGTGAGACGTTGGACCGGAATCCACTATTTGCTGCCCACCTCCTGGTTGACCGAAACAGGGATAGGATGTATTTGTAGGTTCCTGTTATATTTTCATGACACGGGTCGTGCTTACATGGGTATGCAGCTACCATCCTCATGATTTTCGTCAGCCAGACCCACTTTCGCCCTTCACGGTAGCTATTGCCGATTCTCATTCACTCGACAGCATAATTCTCAATGCTGGGCTGCGCGGTCTCGCATTGGACTCCAGTTGGCGCAACAAGAATGAAAACCGCGCAGCCATGACACTTTTGAGCACGGTCAACGATCACAAACATGTTATGCCAGGTATTGTGACATCGTCAAACTCCACCTTATGTTTAGCTAACATTTTGATCTAGGGGCGGTTTTATTGTCCGCTAACGTGCAAACGGAAACACTTACAGAGTTCCTTCGTGTCACTCGGGACCGACTTATTGCACGAGCGCAGGAGATTGTCAAAGGTGCTTTGATTGGAGATGGTAGTTCTGTGCTTGCTGACAGCCAGTGTTCTGCCTAGACCCAAGCACAATTGAGGACCGTACACCAGGCGAACACGAGCGCATCAAAAGACTCGCAGCTGAAATTTTGGCCCAGGGGTTTTCTGTGTCGCACTTCATGATAGACAAGTCACTCGCAGAGCTGCACGCAATCAAAAAAGGTCAGTTATCATGCACTTGATACACTAGCGTAACCTGATGAAATTGTAATGATCGGCAGTGTTCCCGCATGCATATATTCGCTTGTGCCAATTTCACGTCATTCAAGCCCTCGTGCGGTGGGACTGTAATGGTGGCCGTCGCTATGAGCCTGACCTGCGCATCAGTCCAGACTTGAAGTATGGCATTATCATCCTGTTCCGTACGCTACAGCGATGTTGTTGTTTGGAAGACTGGCCAGGGGCAGAGCAGGCATTCTTAGATGGTGTGGAGGCTTTGGTGATGGCGCAAAAAGGCAAAGCAGATGCAACATTAACAGTGCCAGCTATCGTCCAGGGTACAAAGACAAGCCAGACACGCTCAAGCAAAGCTCCACAAGCCGTGGCACATTTAACTGTAGCCATGAAGCAACGCCAGTGGGAGTTCATTCGAGACTACTTCAAGACCAACTGGTTTATCGACGAATGGATTCGTGAGTGGTGTTGATAGAGAATACAACACACTTGCGAAATAAAAAGTGTAGCGCATTTCACAGATATAGGGCTACCATCTACGCAAACTCGTGATGGCACCTGGAACACAAACAACTGGGTGGAGAGTGCATTCCGTGTTTTTGATAGTGTATTTCTAGAGCATCGCGTGAATAAACGGTAGGCAAGGGTATGCTTAATCACAGCACGTCTTCCTAACAGATGTTTGACAGTATTGACCGATTAGCGAGCATCATCCTCAATGATTACTTGCCCTTTTACCGATTCTGGCAACCTGAGCACCGCGCGCTACCAGCCGAAGTTGTTCAAATGAACCGCCTCGCACATCTCATCTGGGAAACACAATCGGTCATACAAACAGGCCCGCATACATATGATGTGATAGTTCCTGCGTGAGTGTATGCCCTAATATGATGAGCTTATGATCATTGCTTATTAAGTTGTGCAGGCACAACGGTCATCCATCAGGCAAATTCCCTAACATCTCGCTGGATCCTCTGTCATGCTGGTGCCCTGATTTTGTGCAAAGCGGCAAGCTTTGTGTCCATTTAAAAGCTGCTAATTTGTTGCGTCGAAATGGCCCTATTGCGGAATGGCATGGTATGACTACCATTTCCTTGAAAGTCAGCTGTCTGATGCCATGGCAAAAATAATAGAAATGGAGTACCGAAACGAAAAGGGGCTTGTCGCAGGCCCTACAAGGAGGCACATATCAGGTGAAAAACAACGACAAAAAGAATCAAAGCGGAAGATGAAGAAGAATAGGCAAGCGCAGAGGCCCATGGTGTCTGACCGGCATGTGAATCATGAGTTATATCACCTGCTCCGACATCTGAAAAGAGCCAATGAGCAAGCACATCTCGAAACTCAACGTCGGGCATATGAGGCGAAGACTGGAGACATATATTTACCTTTATCCAAGCGTGAGCATTTCGCAATAATTCAATCTGACCCAGCTCATAAATCATGAACAATTGGTAACAGGGTTAGCTGGGCGACCAAAAAACATGGCGCCTTTGGCACCTTTTCGTGTTCCGATGTCTCGGAAAGCGCAAAACAAGGTTGCCGTTCCACGCTTTGCACGCAAACGGGGGGTTCCCAAGACAAACCGGATGCATAACAGCCTGTTCGCACTACATACCCGCATTCGTGATGCTTGTCGTGCATTCCGGAAGGATTTGCGGCAGAGGGCAATGTCACGCAGAGGAGCCTACCCGGCTCCTCCGCAATGTGAAACCGAGATGCACCATGCTGCAAATGCTGATGTGGAATCACACCATAGCTCAGTGCATACAGCTACAGCTAGCGCCCTTTTTAAACTCCCATCGAACGACGGCCACTCCACCGAACCTGAGGCACTGTGGCCTGAAGAACATGACATACTAGCAGGCAACCTCAAACGTTGGGCGAGCGATGACTACCGGTTACGTGCTGATGAATGCCAGTTGTTTGTCGACATACTCAACCAGTCGCATACTGCGCAGATGCAAGGAATTATTTTTCTTTTGGCTCCACTTGAGAATATGGCCTTAATCTTGCAAGGACTACAGCTGCCGGAGTTGCGCTCCCCTGAGGTGCTTATGACGGTGAGGTTTCTAATTCATGAGTTCATGTGAAGTGGATGACGCTCATGGCGATTTCAATATTACACAGATTCTCTGTCAAAATCAGCTCTCTCACCTGGCTGAACTTGTCGAGAGTCGCACAAACCAGCTTGTTCGTCAACTTGTGTTTGTCAACCTACATCATGAACACTGGACTGTATTCCGACATTGGCTAAATATGATCACCCCTGGCGCGGACATTCTCGCCTACAACTCTCTGCCCTATGCTTTGGACTTTGGTATAGGAGACCAAGTGGCTGTACACCGTTTTATCGCAAGCTTCATGCCGCAAGTGCGTGATTTAATTGATTTTTTGAGCTGATGTACTAACAGCATGAGTTGATAGCATGATAGGCCATGTGAAGAGCAGTATCACTCTATATCCACCAGCCTTCAGCGTGATAGCTCCAGTTGTGGCTATTGGGCACTGTTGACCATGTTCAGCTTCCTGCTCAGCTTTGACTTGAATTCCACAATCTGCCGGGCGATGACAGCAGCTGACGTGAAGGACCTCCTGGGTTCAATTTACACTGCTTATGTCGCTGACCACCATGGGGTCACCACAGAGTTACTTCGCAACTTGTTTGCAAATTTTGAAACTAACGTGATGTGGGAGGATTGGCCTACAATTGTACGTCTACTATCAAACATACACTATTACTATCTCTAACACCTATGATATTGCCAGTTTTCTCCCCGCGCTGCTACGCAGGCTCGTGTCAGCCCGCGCACTTTGCAGGCTCGTGTCAGCCCACGTGCTTCGCAGTCTCAAATCTCTACGGCACAAGACACATCGGATCCAAACAAGTCGCACTTTGCTCAGGCTCATGTTCCACAATCACCCCTGCGACTGGAAGCAGGAACCAGCGCAGAGGCGCCAATAAGTACCCTAGATCCCGAAGAGAAACTGTCACTCCTATGCACAAACCCGAACACTGTATGGTCAATTGGCAGGCACCGATTTCTTTCATCTCGCATCAATTGGCTTCTCGAGGGCAAGGACCTCTCCGATTTCGTCATAGAACCATATCTCGAGTATCGTCTCAGCGACCTTTTCAGTCACATACCTGTCGCTGAGCGTACATTCATAGTGGCTGATGCTCAGACTTGCCATCAGCTGCGTATGGCCCCCTTGAATGGTACAGGCATGGCGCCTCCCAAGAAGAGTGTTCAATTGTGGTTCCCGCAGGTAGGTGCCACCTAACAAAATCGTAAATTGTTTCTAATCATTGCACTCAGACTAATATCTTTGAGAAAACGTACCTTGTAATCCCATGGTATTCGAAACTCAAGGACGATGGACATTGGTTCCTAGTGGTGGTGTATATGGCGAGGATGTGTATTGAGGTCTACGACAGCATGCCAGCTGGGACAACCAAATTGCGACGTGCGAGGGTTGCATACAAGGTAATATACTTGTTTTTTTACACCATGTGAGCCAATGAGCTGATGTTCTGGCTGTAGCGGGTCCGTATGATGCTGATCTATGAGCACAGAACACGCCTGCGGCAAGAGCTCAGCAGGCAATGGGCGCCGAACCTAGATGTTCAGGTAGGTGCCATCAGTCACGAGCAGTTTTTGCCAACTCATTAGCAAACCCACAGGCCACTGTTCCTGTTCAGGGACCTGGAACTAGACATTGTGGTGTATATGTGTTACGCTTCATCGAGATGGTTGTCATGGGCCAGGATCCTGCAGACGAGAAATTCACCTTTACAGACGATGATGCCATGGCATTGCGTAAGTCCATCGCTCTACGACTAGCAGAGGCCATGCCCGATGAAGACGTGGCGAAGGCGATTGCACAGAGGCCAACAGGCCAACGCAGCTGCCCATCAGAGGAAGAAGACGATGTTGTAGTTGCAGAGACACCAAGAGCATCTGTGGACCAGGCTTTGGTGGTACCGATCAAAGCTGTCCAGGTATCAGCCGCCAACCCAATATCAAATGCAAAGACCCTACAGCCACCTGAACCGTCTGGGCGGTATAACATCCCATGATTTACACGCTGAGCACAGTACTGACTATGTACCTAGGTCAAGCCGTCCTGCAGTCCAGGTTGGCGAGTGGCGGGTAGTACAACTCCCGAATGGACAGTTTGGCCCCGCGCAGATCATCAGGCTAGATGATAAGGAAGACGCGATTCATCTACGAGTGGCAACTGAGGTCATTTGGAACCCAGACAAGGTGCCATTACCTCAGTCGTTGCAAACAACGTGGTCAGGCTTGAGTCGCTCCTGGAACCACGGGATGCCAATGAGCCAGGTGTGTGGATCATGTAGATATGTCCCAAAACCACGCCTGAAGCGCCTCTACCCATATAGTTACTACCTATCATTTGGCCGCATGGCCTGACACCATACTTCCCCCGAATTGTGACAATGTCCCGTCGAACAGAGGAGCTGCGGTATGCGTTGATGATGGTTATCCCGGACTTGAAGTTGGTCTTCGACGGTCTGGAGTCACATCCCGTCTTCACCCGTGTCATTGAGGGTTTTCAAAGCCACTTTGGTTACGACAAGGACAGGGACATTTACGACTCACGCCCAACTCTTGGTGATGCTAGGCAGTACTACGAAGACGGCATGCGATACACCCTAAACGACCATCCAGGCAACTTGCTTGACTATACCGACGAGGCAGTGATCGAGGAGTGTGCTATACACCTCATGGATGTTTGCGCGCCGGAGTATTCACTGCGCTGGGGGAATCGTGTCCTCATCTTCGGCGCTGGCCGCCTGATGTTGGGAATGCTAACATTAGCGCACCATACAGGTCTACCAATCCAGCAGATACCATCAGCACTGAAGACAGGTCTCATATTTCGCCCTGTGTCTGACTTCGAGAGCATTTGGCAGGCATATGTGAAGGTGATGCCATTGAACTTGGTGTACGACTTCGAAGACTCGCACCAAGTCGTGGTGCCCGGAGTGGATTTGCCTGTAGCTCAGCTGAAGGCAGAGGCTACAGAATTGTTACGGCAAGCGGAGGGCAATCAAGAGGTGACAATGGAGCAGCCTGTACAGCGTGTACGTCGGAGTAGAAAACGTAAATTGTTTTAGTCTTCAATGCATGCGCATGCTCGGGAAAGATGTGCATGACAGACCAGGATTGTGCGAGCGAAACGTTCAGTGACTTTATAGGGCAGTCGTCCGGCTTTGATCGAGTAGCTACTAGCTATGCGGCTCCTCGTTGTACTTTGCATCCTCTCTATCCTTTGTCCCGGTGGGCTTAGGCACATCAGATCTATTCATTCATATGACGAGGGAGTGGATGCCTTGTAAATGATGGAAGCGAACGACTAGCTCAGCGATACGAAAGCGAATACAGCAACGATAAGGGTGTTGTTCAATCTCCTTCCTGCACCCTGCCTTGTTGCTATTCTGTGACCAGCAGAAACAACCCTAGCCAATCTAACTCAATTCGAGTCAACACACATACACACAAATGGCAGACGGAATCGAAGTCGTGCCCATTTTGCGGCCTCCTCTCACACATGTTGCGAACTTTGCGGACTTCGGGAGGGAGATCAGAGGTGTTCATCCTGGTGCGATTAGTCCAGAGCGATTGCAGGGTATTGAACGATTGTTGTACAAGGTATGTAGCTACAGATATTGGTAGCCCTGGCATTGCACACCGCTCACTTACGCCGTAGCACAGTCTCCTGCTCTTCAGGAATGTGGACGTGACCCCCGAACAGCAATATGCATTGGCAAAGGTGCGCCACCCATCTAGAAATGATCCAAGAAGTGTTGTTCGACAGGTCGACTTGCAGAAATTCGATCTGGAGAGCTTTGGGCACGGGAACAAGAAGATCAAGAACGACAAGAAGTCCATCTTGAACCCTACTCTCAAATGTATCTCGCGCATGCCACAGGTGTACTTTGTCGCAAATGGGACCGTGTACGACCACAAGGGCCTGCGAGAGGTAAAGCTCAAGCACCCGTCACACACATCGTGGCATAAGACGTCTATCTCGCAAGAAGATGAGGAGAAGGGTGTTACCCGCTTTGTGCGCTAGCACATGGACGCGGCGCTGTACGACCTGCTCCCGCCGAAGGTGACGACATTATATGGGATCAACGTGCCCCAGGGACCAAGGCAGATTGTCCGGTACGACGATGACACAGGCGATGAGCTCGAGGTACCGCTCGCTGCGACGGCATTCGTATCGGGCAAGACAGTGTTCGATATCTTACCTCCAGAGCTGAAGAGCTTGGCGGTCAGGAGTAGGGTAAAGAACGCGCCGCATCCGTATACGTGGATCTCGACTGCAAAGGCAAAATCCACTGGGAGGGGCGTAGAAACGGAGGGACTCGAGATGCCGTATGACCAGCGCTCTGTGGTACTGTACAGGGCAATCTCTGTGGATGCCTCAGCCGGTGTGTGCCCATCCCCCTCACCACGCGCGGCCCCGTCCTGACCTGTAGTCTCATAGGGCGTGCAGCTGATCAAGGCATGCGGGAAGGAGATGATGGAGCCCGTTCTGCATGCCCTGATGGCAGGGATGAATGGGCGATCACATCACAAATGGCGGTGCTGAACAACGTTCTCGCGCAAGCTTGTGAAGGACGTCGGGTTGACAGAGGTGGAGGAGGGCCGGTACGTCATGCACCTGAGATGTGGAAATCGAGGCTCGCGGGGTGATGAACAAGATCGCGCAGGGTGCGTCCGGATCTCTGCTTGTTTTTGTAAATCGACGGGTTTATACTCCGTACAGCGTAGGTACATGTGAGTGTAATCGGGCCTCCAATAACTCTCAGCAATGGGCTCTGCGGCCTCGGATGGCAACACTCCAACGGGAGCGTAGCGCAGGACATCGTTGCCCTACGGGTTTCGGGCGGACAAGTTGCGTCCCACAAACCGCGTGGGGCATGAGCTACTCTTGCAGGTGGCGAGCCGCGTGCGGGAACCAAAGGTGAGGAAACAGGGAGGCGTCATGCGCGGAACCTACCACCCGCTCGCAGGGCCCGATTGCGGCGCCAAACTTGAGAAGGCGCGAGGGGGAGCGCGATGCATCGACAGCATCCCGCTCTTCCCAGAGAACAAGGAGATTGTCAGCGCAGGTCTCCACAGCGCACCACGCTGCGAAGGCCTTGAAGTCTTAACCACGAGAGTAGGCGAGGTCCGGGAGCTTACCACGACTTTGGTAGAACTTACGCCACCGGAACACACGCTCGGTGGGCTTGCAGCCGCGCATTCGGCCGGGAGTGGGGACGCCTGGACGCACGGTCACTGAGCGCTTCGGCAAGAATCTCTGCCCACCCGAAGGTAGAGACCATGGGGGCCAGCCGTAGGAACTCAAGGACGTCGTTCCCGGACCAGCCGCATTGGGCACGCAACTGGCGGGTACGGTCGTCTCAACACTACGCAAGCAGCCCCCGGTGCAGGAAGCGACAGCAATCAAGGGGTTGTCATCGGATGATGAATTGGTGGGCGCCGCTGACAATGTTCAGGCGCAGGCCGGAGAGGATTGAACGGCCAATGGCCGGGTATATATTAGGCTCTCACTGTATGCAATTTAGTTACTGTTTTGAAAGCAAGTCATTGGTGCGAGCACCACTATTTGAAAGTACATGCTAGCCTGTACTAGTGCATTATAGCCCGTTATCCTATATGCGGCGCAGCACTTCAGCAAGACAGAAGATGTCTCGTAACATAGAGAGTGATGATGAAGCGAGACAGACAAAGACTGCAGTTCTGTTATGTACATATATTTAGACCCGGGTGAGACACAATATGCTTCATAGTTTGCAGAACTACAAGTGAGCGACATGACGAAGACTGCACTCATGTTATATACACATACTTCGACCCAACAGTGAGGAAGTGAGACGCGCTATCGAAACTCGATTACATCCAACAAGCCCAGTAATAGCAGACATCAGCTATGGGCATTCTAGCAATTTTTATGGGCCATACTAATCCTGCCGATGCTACGTTTTGATGTTCAGCGTAATCTATGCAGGAAAGGAGTTGTTAATAAATGTGGGGACATGCCTGCAATCCAGGATGACACATGGGGTATTTCATTTGACTGATTTGCGATCGGTGATGACATGATCCATTTTCGCATTTTCCAACTCAGATGGACTGTAAAGCAAAGGTCACGTTAAGCACTTCGATAAGCGCCCATAACAAGACTTGAATCTCATACTTAAAGAATCCCCAAGCTTCGTCATCTTTGAAGCCTACCATAATGTTCATTGACCTTAATGTACCTGTGCCTACTGTGGTACCAAGGCATACCCAGGGACAACCGCAATCAAAGAAAAGCAAGGGGAAGCAGCAATCCGCGCCTGATTCTGTTGCATTCACCCCGGCACAAATCTCCGCAATAGAAAGCCGGATTGACCTGCTCGTACATTGTCCGTCCAAGCACCACTTTCGTGCGAACTTTTCTGACGAGAATTCATAGTAGGATACACCACTTTCGCGCTGAACCAGATCGTGCAGCGCAAGGTTGATGCGAAGACCCACATCAACGTCCTGGACCCCCTGCTCGCACAGCTGCGCAGACGGACAAACGTGGTCATTCTCAAGCGTATAACTATTGTGCTGGATGAGGAGAGCGAAAAGGGCTTTGGCCTGGTGTGTGAACCCCTACTCTATTCTACTTCTCTGACAGATCGCCTTTCAGACGACGCAGAACGCGCCGCTGTTTGAGCAATACGACATCATTGCACTCCTCCCCACAACGCAAACAACATTCTCCCAAGCCTGCCTCAGCCACAGCGCGCCCTCACCGCTCACCACGCACATTATCGCCCTTCCGCTCGCTCTTCCGCGGCTTCCCTTCCACCTCAAGCATACCCTCGTCCGCACTGCGCTCCGGAACGGCGCAGCATTTGAAATCTGCTACGCAGGGGCACTAGGTGCGGAGGGAGATCCGTGTGGCAGCGGTGGCGAGGGAGGCGGCGCGGCGAAGCGCAACTGGTGGGCCGGTGCACGAGAGGTGGTCAGGGTTACGAAGGGTGCAGGGGTCCTGGTCAGCGGCGGCGTGGTAAATGACGCCGATTTGCGCTCGCCCCGGGACGTGGGCAACCTGTGAGTCTTTTCTTGTCCACGCCAACGCGTGCTCACGGTGCCGTACGTTGTCTTTGCACAGGCTCACTATTCTTGGGCTAGCGCAAAATGTCGCGCACGATGCCAATAGCTCAGTTCCGCGAACACAGATCATACGTGCTCGTACGTCTCCTATGTTTAGCCGTCCCTCTCGGACGTTGACGAGACATCATGCAGAAACACGGAGAACATACCGGGCGGTGCTGTCAGAACCTAAAGTCATCATACCAGAAAATATGATCACATCCCAGCCAACACTCCTGCCGCTTCCAGATTCTGAACCGACATCTGCACTTCTACCTACTGTGCCATCCTCTGCTGCTCAAGCGGACGCTCCTACGTCGGAGCCAGAGGCACCACAGAACGGCAAGAAAAGGCGGTTAAACGGAGGCGAGGACGAGGATACACAGCCGCAAGGGGCGGCTACGGAGGGAAAAGAGGACAGTACGATGCGGAAACGCAAGAAGAAAAAGACAAGGGAGAATGTGACCGGGTAGTAGTATACCTGCTACATTCTCAATTCCCCGACGCATCTACGTACAACTTCACACTTGGCCTTTCTCGCCGTTGTTTGCATAACTATACGCTTTGTTGGGCACCCACTCGTGTGTTATATGCACAGACTGGCTAGAGTACAGGAGATGTACGACATGGCTTGTTCGGCAAGGATAGCACGAAAATAGCTAAGATCATGATATGGAAGATGGAGGATTCGTACAACAAGGAGACGCATGAAGACGACAATAGACCCTCAAACCCAACCTGTTATGGAGACACCATACTCACTGGGCCACTCCCACTCGGCGTGGGAGTTAGTCCGTAGAAGCCGCCGGGTGTGTCTGACGACCCACCGAGATGAGGTGACATCAACAACGATGCCATGTCCACGGAGCCGTCATTAAACAGCGCCAACAGATCCGGAGAAATGGCGTTCTCGGATGGCATAATGTCCATGGCGTTCGAACTGTCCATGAACGTCGCTAACGAGCCGCCGAAGGCTGCCTGCGAAAGGGCGTGTGCAACACCCTGTGTAGATGGATTGGAGGAAGGCGAGAAGGGTGCAGGTTCTTGACTCGTGCCCCTCAAATCTAGGAAAGGGTCTGGTGCCGGGAACTCCTCCGGACTCCCGGCATGGGACGGTGAATCAGCTGAATTGGCCGGAGAGCGGGCATTCGAAGGCGTCTTTTTGCGGGCAGGGCGGACCCATGGCGGTCGATGACTAGGACCGGGAGTTCCGGAGGATCCTGAACCATCACCACGGTTGGAATCCAGGGGGATTTGAGTGACTGTAGAGAGACAGTTCAGTCAAAGATCAAGTCTGGCTGCTGCGGTGGGAACTACGCACGTCTACAGAACTCTTCCATAAGATCACCTGAGCGCTGGCCGCACACGTATCGTCCACTGAATCGCTTCAGAAGTCCAACGCAAGAACGCAGAGCTTCTAAGCCTGGGCCGATCAGGGGCTGCATGCGTTCAGGGTGACAACAGAGCAGGACTGCAACGAGAGTACGCCCTGCAGCCGTGAGCTGATGGATCACATGTACACCGTCTATAAGAAACGTTAGATTCACTCATGACAACAGCGAACAACGTAGGACTTACAATACGTCATCAACCCCTTGGAGGCAATGTGTAAATGTGACGATATAATATGCAGGGCACATTTATGAGCGGTCTGCATCGCCTCGCACTCCGCATCGCTCTGTTCCCCGCCACTGAGCGGCCCCTGAGTGCGCTCGGCGACCATTTCGGAGAACCGGTGCCGATGGATGAGCATCCGCACGTACTGCTCTGCACAGTATAACCGGTTTGCCTGTGTGACCCTGAGCACGTCGTCGCTCGTCATGGTCTCCACAGTGTGCGCCCAGTGCGCCGGTATCGAGCGCACGATCTCGTCGAGAAGGGCCTCCTCTTCCCCGAGCTCTTTTGCACGCTTGAAGCCGCCTAAGACAGCGGCCGCTCGGGCGAAGAAAGGCGAGCACCCTTCGCCGAAGTGCCGGGGCGGCGGGATGTCGACGATGGACTCGAGGACCACAAAGATGCGCACGCAGCAGACGAAGGCGCTCATGCGACTCTCCGTCTCAGCGGACTGGACGCCGACACCGTCCCGGGTGATAAACTCATCGTCAACGATGGCCGGCTCCGTTACATCGCAGTCGCGCAGGCGGATCATGGGCGGACGGCCGAAGTAGGAAGCAGCCTGCTTGTCCCACAGATAGACACACCAGAATGTGCGCTTGCGCACCTCATCCTCGATGGCATCGAAGACGTCATAGTCATCGACAGAACGGTGCAGGCCGGTGTCGATGGAGAGCGTCACAGCTTCTGATAGAAGAGCAAACGCCTTGGAGAGCTTGCCCAAACCTACGGCGTAGACGCCAGCGATCAAGACAGCCTGTACGGTGTATATCGTGGGTCTATCTGCACTTGGTAGGGTTCGCAACCGAGCAAACAGCTCGAACCACTGTGTACCAGCAGTGTTGCCGTCGTTGGGGTCGGCTCTCACGCGAGGGTCGTCAATATGCCGTGATGATAAACAGCAAATGGCGACAATGAACGCAGCGAACCCAGGCTCGCCCCATTTTCGTGGATTCCCATAATCCTAATGCACACTTGTCAGTTGCACGTATCAATACATAATTGTTCACGCGACCCACCGAAAGGAACGTTGGGACGTGCAAAAAAGGTAGCAAGTAATATGTCGTGGACAGGAAACATTGCACCAGACTGCAAGCATTCAACACACAGTCCAGAGAGGTAGAATGTATTGTCCCACCTGTCCATCAGCTCCGGGGCAATGAACGACGTGATCAACTTCCAGATCGCCTCTGGATTATGATCGGTCCTCTTCGGCGTGCGGTCCGGGAACCAGTCGCTTGCAGCATGCCCGTTCTGGCTTGCATACGACTGCGCCTGCGGCATGCGGTCCGGTTCGGGCTTGGCTGTCATTGTATGCCGCTCTACGAGAAGGTCAAGCAAGGGCAGGCCGGACGTTTCGCCCTGCCAGCGCGTGTAGCCCTCGTCGTCGAAGTAGAGGTAGTTCGACGACAGCGACACGCGCGACGAGTCGTCCCCAAGCCCGTCGCCAGATCCCGACATCCCGTTCTGCCCAGACCCGAAGCCCGTGTGCGGACTCACGTTGCGCGCCGTCTTCACCGGCGCGAAGAATGTCGACGGGTTCATCAGCGGGTACGAGTTAAGTGATGGCGGCGGCATCGCGGTGGGGAAGATGTGTGTTGACGACGCAAATGACGCGTGCGGATTCGTCGACGGGTCGATTGGCGAGTGCGGTATCGCTGCGCCTGTGCCTCCTGCCGCGAACACAGCGGGCGGAATGGCCTGGATGAGTGTCTCCAGATGGTGCATGCGATCTTCCAGCGTCGCAGCGCGCCTGCAGACGTCGGTCAGCGCTCGATTACGATGCAACGACAGGGATAAGGGATAAATGGGAACGGTCAACCGGTAGCGTGAAGGTTGGGAGGAACCCTGGGAACAGTGTCCCCCACATCCCAAAGACTTTCAAACCGCTCTATTTCCGCTGCGACTGTGCCATCACGCCGTCAAGTGACCGCCCAGCAATGCTTGCGCTTGGCTGCATTCAAAACATTCTGGCAAGTCGCATGGCGCCCAGGATAGAGGTAACAATGATAGCCCAATGATACCAGACGGGGGTGCATCTGAACACTCAATCTGGACATCTTGTGCCGCGGCAGAATCATGGGCGACTCTCTAGTGGTAGACTTGCGCTACGGAGCCCGCCAGAGGTTTCACGCTCCTGCAAGCTTGCAAAGGGCACACAGGGAGACGTCCCGGAGCCAGTTTGTAAGCCCGGTCCGTGCCCAACCCAACCCAACGGATCGGCAATTAGAAGTTCTTCTGTGTCCTCGAGTGCGATCACCTCGCGATCATGGGCCAGGCAAGCCATCGACTGCTTGGCCCGCCAGCGACGTCACCATTCCTCGGTGTCCCCATCCGGACTGGCCGACACGTTCGGTCTACATCTTCCTGATTGTGCGCATTGGAAGCGCTAGGGTCAGCAGACCTCGTAAGGAGGGGCTGGCTGGTGTCTAGGTGATCACCTGTAGCGCAGTGGCTTGTCGGAGTTCTCAGTGGATAAAGAGCCCCCTGCTTCTGACAGACCCCGTCCCGCGCGCATGACTAAGCCTATACGGCAGCAATGACAGCGAAAGCCTCGATGCTGAAGACAGAGAAGAGGGACCATGAACCAAGGGTAGTCTCAATCGCACAAGCACCAACTCCACGGCTGAGAGTATCCTGGTCTTTGTAAGCACGTATAGCCTGCAGAACCCAATGTCTACGGAAGAACATCAGGTTGTGGGCATGTACAACCTCGCAGCGTCGCGCCGACGTGCCGGGCGACTACAATCTGGTATCCCCGGGTAGTGTGCAGGAGCCCCACAGTAGATGAATTGTTCGCGTAAGGACGCTGCGTCACCTATGAAACAACAAGCCTAGTGACCTAGACAATGTGACCCCTGAGGGCACATCGGCAAGGGCACAAAGACCGCCGAGGGAGCTCTGTCGAGGTGTACACTCTTGAAGTAAGCCAATGGGCTGTTGCAGCAGAACCGATGCCTCATGAGCGCAAGAAGCAGGGGCGTTGGGCTCTAAATGCGCGACATTTTTGACAGAGTTCCGACCGACGCGTGCGGCTAGCGTGCGCAAAGAAAGAAGCAGGGCGACTCACTTGGACTTGTGAGGATGCGTGCGCTTCCCCGGCTCCTCAAACGTGCATGGCGAATTGGACGTCAGGCATGACTGGCACGGGTGCCCCTCGTCACACTTGATTCTCCGGCGGCTGTACAGGGGGCGTGAGCGCCTGGGGAGGCATCGCAGCAAGCAGAGCTCACCGACAGCGATCACACGCTCTGAGACGGCACAGTCAGCGCACACAAGCGTGGAACGAAGAACCCTCGACTCGCCTGCTCAGCTTGAACCGACGCTCCTTCAGAATGGACGAGCTGCTGCTCGCGGACAGGGTCGCGCCTGCGGCGATCGGCGAGGTCGGGGTGGTCGACGTCGAGGGCTTGACCTCTGCAGTCTGATCGTCTGCTGCGGAAGAAGGGGGCATGGCTAGCAAGAGAGCATGCACGACGAAAAGCCAAAGATGGCGGTGCAAAACAAGAACCGAGAAATTGAAGACCGGGCCTGAGTCCTGAGATTACCAAGTCATTTGAGGGCGTGCCACTTTACGGGGATAGCCGGCCCCCCACGGCCGCCATCTCAGCCACACCCTGCCGTACTCTCCGGGACCATTCCGCCTTAAGATTGAGCAAGCCAGAGGGGCAAACCAAGTTCAGAATGTGTCTTGCACGCCAACATAATTTATGCGAGAACGGAAGCCCCTGCCCTCCTGCGAGTCCGCTCAACCTCCGCATAAATACCACGCACAAGCGGAGTGTTCTTGACACCCAACCGCCATTGCACAAGACACCAGCATACGAGGGCGTGGCCTTGTCGAGTTCACTCTGCACTACACATCGAAACCGTAAGTCAGTAAAGAAACTTGTGGTGTACAAGTTGACAGGAGGTCTACCTCTCCGCCAAGATTTTCTTCTAGGTAATTGATGCTCGAGCTTCCATAAATGGAATACAACGATCTAATCAAGGATTTCTAGTCACCTCGTAACCCTAGAATGGGGCTTATCATTTTGAGAAACGGAGGTTAAGTACGTAATTGCAAGCGAATGGCAGAACGCGGCGTCTTAGAATCCTGCTCACAATACTGATTTGGGATCACGAAAAGGATATCATGGCTGATTATACAATCTTGGATATCAGTACAACCGTCGTAGACGACATCATACAACGCAGCTTCACTGCCGGTATCTCTCCTACCAACTGTCCTCGTCCTTCGTCCTGCAATTCCGCCCGACAGCGAGATAGAGACATCGCACACGGCAGCTCTATTCTTGCTTTGCGCGCAACTCACGCGTCCAGTCGACGAGATTCTTGAGCTGCTCCAGCGTGACGAAGATCAAGATCGTCGTCGGCTGCAGCCGCGTCCACGCAGGCACCCAGCCTTTGAACATGAACATCGGACCCTCGTTCCGGAACGACGTCTTGATCACCTGTAGCGTCGACTGCACGACAATAATGTGAAGGTCAGCGTGCGAGTCAGCGGGTCACGTTACGGCATGCACGTACTGAGCCGTCCTTGCCCGAGGCACTCATGACCCGGCTCTAAAGCGTATGCGGATCAGCGTCCGCTTGTTTCAGCTGGGAATAATTATCGTTGACCTTGATGACATCCGCCGGTGAGCACACAGTCGTCGCAACGGTACCCTGCAAATTGTAAGTGAGTACGATTGTTCTGCCCATGGACGCGGTACGTACGGCTGCGAAGCTTGCCGCGACATGCACGTTGATATTATCCTCAAAATAGCTCGTCTTGAGGAGCTCAGCCTTGAAGAAATCATAGCTAGGCAAATCTCACTCGTCAACACCCATCGACGGGGCGCCGTGTATCGACACTTACGAAGCAAGCTGGCTTGCGTTCATGAGGATAGCACGGAACACATTAGGTCCCACACCCCGTCCGAGGGACGACCATCCCTCCTCGCGCACCATCTACGCACAAAAGTTGGTCTCGATTTCCCAAGCCGTAGCGAGATAATGTTCAACGCACACGAATGAGGCCGTCTATCGCATTCTTGTACCCGAGCTGCTTTTCTGGCGGCTTGGCGAGGTCGCCTTGCAGACGGACCTTTGTCGGCGTCAGAGGCAAGCATCGCGGATGCACAGAATTGAGATGACTCACCATGATGATCTCTTTTGACACGGAGCAAGCAGATATCAGCAAGATGGTGCGGAGATACGACAGCGATACCGACCTCCCGGATTCCCTACCAATCCAGCGATGCCGCCGGCTGACGTAGTCAACGATCTCGGGTCAGACGTCCATATCTCAAAGATTTCGAGAGAAGAGCGCACCCATGCTCCCGGCCAGGGCCAGCTTCCATGCGGGCGACTGAGGACCTGTCGCCCCATTAGACCATTCTCCCCTATATGCGGCACACGACACAGAACGTACCTGCGCCCACGATCTTCTTGCTCTCATCGTACGCCCAGAAGCGACATAGCGAGTACGACATCTGACGCAGCCACGTCCCCGTAATGCCATCAAACAGTCCGCGTGCGCCAGCCGTGCGCACAGTCTTGCGTATCGACTCGATCATGCGCTTGTCGCCCGTCGCCTGCAACCGCACCTTCGTCAGATCCAACGGGCTGGCGTCGCGCAGATAGGCGTGAACGGTCAGATCTCGACAAAGGTCACACGCTTTAGGACTGCGTACTGTGTTATGGACGCGGCGATAGTCGCAGCGACACCTGCGTTGCGGACACAGCGGAGATAAGGCGATCGAACACGATTGTCAGCGTTATGCTTGCCGGGCAAGTCAATCGGTCGAACGCACCGCCGAGCCAGAAGGGGTACGGCTGCTTCTTCTTCGGCGGTACCACGTCCGCGGGTGGCTGGACGGGCAACGCTGCGGCAGACTCGAGCGCCTTGGACATTGCGGGCTCGTGTGGGATTGGAGTGGTAAAAAAACTCGCTGGCTTCCCCCTATGTCACTGCTCCTGCGATCAAAGACCCGGTCTCCAGTAGACAGGGGCAAATATGCTGGGGTTGTGGTGAGAGTTCAGGATGGGGCGGGGGCACTTCTGCTTATAGGTCTGCGCCGTGCCGCACGTAGTCTGTATCGCCCGGTTTGCACCGACGCGCGAAGCTAGGGGAAGCAGGACCCGCGCAGCCGTGCGTGAAATGGAAGGGATCGCCATTACTGGAGAGTGGTGGTCGTCCGCGTCATGGGAGAATACGGAGAAGACTTACAGGTGACCCCGCACCTGACATCACACAAGCCTTTACTGAATGCACTAACTCTTGAGGGACATGGACTTCTATGGTTACAATCCCAGCCGTCTGCCGACTTGAAGGCGGTGGAGGTTGATTTGCAAGAACTACGCCCTCACTACGCAGCGTGCTCTGGCCACGAAGAGAGAAACAGGTAGCTATGGGAGTGCGAACGAGATGCTACTGGGCCCGATGTGACACCGATGCGGGTGTGGCATTTGAAGAGATGGTCAGCAGGACAAGTAGAGTTCGGTGCGTCGGGTCGGTCCAGGTGATACGCGGTCATGTGACATGCGCGTCGCGACGGGCTCATACTCAAGAGTCGTCTCCATTGTGAGTTCGCACCCACGCTTGTCATGCATTCAGAGGGAGCACGATTGAAAGCCACAGGAAGTGCACTACACACATATGCGGTATACATGACGCTGTGACTGCCCGGAGTTCTCAACGGCGCGTACTGCATGGCACAACCTAAAACTGTCACATATCGAAACTTGGCAAGCTGACACAGTGAAAAAAGGCCAGAGAAGCTTCGATATAGAGCGCAGCGTTGCTCCAGGATGAAGGTGCACTCTTAAACTTTCACCACGAGAGGATAGATGTCGGAAAGTTACATATCGGCAGATGCGCCAAAGGCAGCCTTGTGCGAGTAACAGAACATGCTCTCTGTCGCTTGTCACGCCAACATGTTGCCTTTGAGAAGTTGTCTTCAACGTGATCGATTCCGAAGAATACTATAGGTACACTCATGTACATAGATCTCGAAGCTACATGAAAGTAAATGCTGTATTCTTACTGAACTTGCTATTACACACTATCCTCGAAACACAATCAGTTGTCCCTTCAATCGTGGCCCAAACGGGGTTTGAAGCGAGTTGCTTCATGCTATCGTGACATGACCAGTGCGGTAGTGGTCGAAGCGTGGACTCAGTCACTCTCTCGATCCGTAGAATCCGTCCCGGATGAGGTAGCAGACTTCTCGTCTTCATGAGCACCGTTGTCAACTTCTCCTGCCTCTGTCAGTGCTCCAAAGTGGCCAATCATTATACCGCGCGGCTGCTCGATAGCAATCATCTCGAAGACATCCGCGAAGGTGTTCGTCAAATCGTGTTTCTCGCCGACGGTATGATCGATTGTTCTCCAGTCCTCCTCCGCCTCGAAGTAGACCTCAACAAGGCAGCGCTTGAGCTGTTGGAGCACTTTGGCGATCCCCACGACCGAACTGTGGAGGCAACAATATAGGTCCGCGAGTGGTTGATATTGGGAGAGCATGTGGGACCTCTCAACTTCGTCGTAGAATAATCTCTTCGCACAATGACGCGCGTTGCAGGGCCATTCCATTTGGGACTCATCGTCGGCTGTGAGTGGAGTGCCATCCACGCTGACGACGATCCTCCGGTAGATGTAGTAGTAGGCAACCCACCAGATAGACTCCAGATCATGCAGTGGATTATAGCGGAAGATGGCATTTATCACAGACACAGGAGTAGGCTTCTCGGTCGACTCTCCGAGACGACCGCCCCCATGAGTATACCGGTGTGCGGCGACTTCTTCAGCTATGAAGCCAGGTGTGCCCTGAGCAGGGTCTCTCAGTTGGACAAACATTTGTTATGAGTGCGATACTCACAATATAGTCACATAATTCATGTTCGTCTGCCATGCTTTCAGCCAGTTCCAGATCCACAAGCTTTACGATCAGCACACCATCCTTACGCATCACCATGATATTACCCGTACTGATGTCACAATGGACCCATCCCCGCCGATGTAGGAGTTGTAACGCTGCGCGCAACAGGGAACATTAGTGCATCTTCGACGTGGAGAAGTAAT